GTGGCATGTCCCCCCCCACATGCTGGTCGCAGGGGGGGTCAAACCTGGGGACGACGGCAGGGAGTTGCTCCATCCAGCGAGAGGGGGGTTGAGTCCAGGCGAGGAGGGGGGTGGCGTCCACGTGTTGGCAAGAGGAGGGGGTAGAGGAGAGGTAGGGGAGGGGGAGGTTGTAGACGAGGGGGTGTGTTCGCTGGAGGAGTGTATGTGTCCCAGAGCAGGGGGTGGCGGCGGGGGTGGCTCATTCTCCTCAATTGCAACAGTCATCTGGAACAGAAAAGCCAACAGTTACACCAACACTGCAGTAACAATCCGCAAAAGTACAGCCAACTTGTTATTACAACCAAAGTGACAGTAACCCACCATAAAGAGGAAGAAAAGATGAAAAGCACTGCTGAATTTACTGAACTCCCATCAGAACAGTCAGCAGAAGCATGCTAGTGTACTGCATAGAAGTGTTGGTGAATTGTAGGTTAGGCACAGATTCGATTCCAATTTGGAAACACATTAGGCATCATAGAATCTTCAAGTCATTGAGCCAGTTGCTGAATGAACAGTTAAGTTTTACATGCCCATTATGATTTCTATCATATAAGTTTCAGATATTTTACCATCACAGCTTTAAACATTCTTCAACTTTCCTTTTTCATTTGTTTGACTGAACATATAAGTCTTTCCAAGACGTTTCAGTAATTTTACAGCACATGTATTTTGACAGTTCCCCCTTAATGTGCTATGCCTGAATGACCTGAAGGGAGCACAGTACAGAGAGAAAGCCTGAGAGCTCTACCTGCGAGAGGACTGCCTCAAGGTACTTTACTGGATTTTCTGACATCTACATGGAGGAGAGGAAGAAAGAAGAAGATAGTGTGTGCGTGTACACACAAGTAGGCTAATACTAGCTGGCCACATCAGTTTTCCAACTTTAATTCTTGCTGAAAGAGCATCTGAGGTCTTAAAAAATGTCTTTCAACTATATAGCACGCTTGGGCAATTTTAATTCAACAATAGAAAATTTCACCAAGCATTGCCAATCTGAGGAAGAGTTTGAGATTACTCCACAGCAAAAAAACCAAGGGAGGAATCTAATGTGGCCCCCTAGTGAAGAATAGAAGTACTGCAGGTATCTACAGCATTGTTATCTTGCAACAAATGGGTTCATGAACCAATCAATGTACACCCCAATAATCATTAGGGCACTGGGAGGGGGGTTATGGATATTACAACAAGCCCTCCTTCAACACGATTGAATGGGACTGGTTTTGGCAAAGTATTTGCTAACATTTGACATTAGAGTGTGCGCAGCAATAATTTATTATTATTACAACAAAATCTCACAGATGATTGATGAGTGGTGAAATCAGTGAAAATCAATCTCCAAGGTGATGTGGTTAGTTACCATGGAAACCAGGGATGTGCATGTGATCGCATTACGTCGTGTTCGCCACCTTTTAAATTATTTTCCCCCTCGCCACCCAAAATTGTGCTTGAAGCTATCGGGACGTTCCGTCCGCGAAAAACGAACCTCGCTCACACCAGCGAACACCCCCGACAGAGGTTTTCTTCTCCTTTCCACTGTGGAACCCACTGACCCATGCCCCCACGTGTTCCATGTGTTCCTTCTCTGCAGAGTGGCAGCCTGGATTAGGGGTTACGAGGGAGGGGGAGTGATTCTATATAGAGCGTATTCACCTGACGTCATCACTATGTTATGTGCCTGCCTGTATTAGTCTCCACCAGACTTCTTTTGTGGGCTGAATAAATCGTAGAAATCAGCCTAAAAAGGGTATTAATTGGCCAGAGAAGGTAGCCGGCCAGAGAAGCTCCATTTGCCTCGCGGGCTACCTTCTCTGGTCGATTAATACCCTTTTTAGGCCGATTTCTACGACCATGCCTCTATCCTTCTGGTATCCCCACGTGCATTTCAGTGAATCGTAGCTCAGCCAATCGGAGACCACCTTGCATTAGACCATATTATTACCTTGCATGGATCCCTTTGCATGCTGGGAAAAATGGAGAACTATGGGTAATGCTGGGAGCAAGGCAAACCACATGGTTGTCATGGTGATGTGTTGCTTGCCCTCCATGTTACCCACAATTCTCTCATTCAGAATACGGCCTTTGAAGGTGTCCCCAGCTCAAAGAATGAAAGAACAAGAGTTTTTCAAAACTTGCTGATAACTTAAATACAAAGATGCTGTGTATCCCGAGCAACAATTCACTGAAATGCAAATAGCGACCCCAATATGACAAAAAGCATTCACCCTCTTCTTTGATTCTACTGACTCTTTTGATAGACATGAAAATTAAGACCACGTAGGAAAATACGCTCCATATACTAGAATAGCATCAAGGTTAGACAACATTCACAATGGAAATGATACAAAACAAAGTGATAAGTTTATGGTCAACAGAAAAGGATGGTATAGTAGGATGGTCTTTAATATTGATAACTGTGAATAAAACTAAAAAAGAAGTATTGAATGAATGGAGACACAAAACGTATCCATGCACAATTCACTTACCAGTTGTTTTTGAAAAAAATTCTAGCATGCCAAAGAAAGGTAAGTAAGTATTATATCAGGGGTGAGCCTCTATTAAAGCATTATGCATACATTAGGAGGTTACATGACTCAAGTTGTGATATTAGTAAAGACTGTTGGCTTTGTGGCTGAAGAAGACGCCTGCATACTAATATCACGAATACAAAATGGTTCCCATGTTTTTCTGTCTAACTATCAAGATTTCTTTTAAGATTTCTCCACTGCAATAATAGTGCAATGTGCTTTACAGAAGTATTGAAAAGCCCATGATTCTAAACAATAGCACTTATTTATTAGAGCTTCCTTACAATTCCCTGAATTAGGAATGGTAGGCTAGTTTTCCAGGATTCAAACATTAAAAAATTCCACAAACTAAAACGTTACAGTCAAGAAACTTCAGTGATGATGAATTTAAACCAGCCTACCACACATGGGTACTGTCCCAATGGGAGATAAAAATTCTACATTTATTGATTCTCGCTGACTGATTAGAATTCTGCCTGGAATTGATTTCTCTGATTGAAATCACTCATCAATCACATGTGACAAACAATCACAATATCTGAGCTGGATGTACAATCCTCAGGTGTCCCATTAGTTTGGACTGAAAAGGTTTCTCTTATAAATGTGATTTTCCTGTGACTAGAAGGTAACCGATGGAACAGTGGCTGGACTAAATTGGGGACAAAACTAGCAAGCCAACATTTGCTGACAAGTGCAGAATATCTCCCCCTCTCCCAACTTTTCTAAAATATTTCTTCTTGATGACTTAATCCTCCTTCAGTTGACAATAGTACCTGAGATGTTACTGAATATCTAAAATTGTTAAAGTGGATAAAATAAATGTGATGCAGATCACAGTTTGGTCCAAAGAATAAATGGATCTGGATAATTTGCATGAGACTTCTCCTTTTTATAATCTAACAGATGGAATGCTTACCTGGTTGGCACTAGAGTCGCTGAAGTTTGACGGCGACGGCGGTCTCAGAAACAACGTGTCCTGCGACATGAACCCAGAATCGTGAGACGAGACGCTCGACAACCTCATGGGGGGCGGCGGAGGCTGCGACAGACTGCGGTAGCGGAAGTGCGCCGAGGGCGACCCGGACGAGCGCGAATCCGAGCTGTTTATACTGCTCAAGCTGCACATGGACGACTTGCGGGATCCTATGGAGCTGGGGGAGCTGGGCGGGGTGTGGAACTGACCCCACGGCGTGCTCTCCCCGCTCATCAAGTCCGTTATAACCTGCTCGCTGGCGGGCGGCAGCTGGTACGGCTGTGCCGACATCTTGACCATGTCGTCCAGGACGGACTGCAGGTGCGTGATCTCCTCCAGCATTCCCAGCTCCTCCTCCACCACGGGCTGCATGCACGACACGAACACGCAGAAACGGCTTCTCTCCGTGATCAGCGCGTTCCGCACGGCGTTCTTCTCCGCTTCCTCTAACGTCTGGTACAGTTCATTCACTCCCTGTAGTGCAGTGTCCAGCTGTGTTTGCACGTCCGCTTTACCTGGACCCCAAGAAAAAGAGATACACAATGTCATTTCTGCAGTCCGTTTACAGCCATAAAATTAAGAAATACAAAATGTCCTACAGCACTCAAAGACAGGAAAAGCGTAGAAGACTGGACCATCCACAAGTAACAAACACAGCACAGCATTAAGTGGATTTTCCATTAAGACAATACAAAGCAAATGACAAGGGGGGACTAGTATATATTGATCTTTTTGCCCAGCACCAACAAGGAATCTTCTCTTTTTCTTCTAGATCCACTTAATATGTACTAGTAGGAACGTCCAAACAAGTAATGAAAGAAGATGCGGATTTAACCATGACTTTTATCACGTGAAATAAAATAGTCAAGGCACTCAAAACGACTGTGATTAATTTGGAATCAAAACCATAAGACATGCAAGAAGCACAGGGTAGCCTGGTAAGCATCCTATTCTAGTTCTAAGTTCTGGATTTGGAATAGGATGGGTACCAGGCTAGGAGAGGGAGTAGCGATGCTGAAATGTGGGGTGGTTGGATCACACAGCCAAGCAGCCAACTGTGATTGACTTACCAAGGAATACCACAGATGTAAGACCATGAAAGAAACAGAAACAGGACATATTACTTCCATCTGTCAATTGGCATGGCCATTGAAATTGCTCATGCAACAAACAACACATGAAAAATGTGCAGTGACAAAAGATGCTGACCGGTGCAAAGGTGCAGTACCACTGACTTCTGACAGGAGGCACACATTTTGGATAAACCAACTTACCCAGCAAGCAAGCTTGGTTGAAGTGCATGTTATGTGCTAGGTTTGAGAATTAAACAAAGGAGAAACAAGTTTTACTTGACAGTGTTAAAAAAGAGAAAAACTTCAGAAAGTGCAAATATGCTGTCTAGTCACATAACTGTTGAAAAATTGTACAGTGCATGTTAATGTACAAAAAGGTGATAGCAAAGCCAATGAATGCCCAAGAGTCATACAGGAAGAAAACTGAACGTTGTGTTGCAAAGATGGTGATTTTCATATCAAACTGACTGTAATGAATAAAGGCCTTCCTTACTTAAATTACAATACAATTAACTTACTATTCCTTTTTTTTTTCAACTAATTTTAGCAGACATCACTTATTTCAATAACCAGTCTCAAACCCCAACCAACCATTGGAATTCCCCCCAAGTAATCTTCCACAAACATAGACACTGTTAAAACACTGTAAACACTCTATAATGCAGGTAAGTCACAATTCAGTAAGCAAATCAGCAAGCAACAGGCTCATCTGAATGGATTGTCATTCAATCCACACAGGGCTGATCTGGTTCAACAAAGAACGTCCATCAAAGATTTGTAAAATCCTTAATCCAACAACCTGCTGTCACTTTGGCTTTGGTTTCTCAGTCTTTCAAAACAACAGTGTTTTGATTGTATAGAAAACCCCAAACTTGTGCTTAGGTTGGGATTTGAGGTCAAAGCTAGAGGCATGGTGTTCATTAGGCACATGTCTGTGGGTTGATGTCATTGGACTGGCAGACAGAGCAAAGATCAAGGGATTTGGAAACAATCAGTTGCAAAGTGTGAAGGCAAGTCAGGAGGATTTCACTGTGGGTGTTTCATTTCTTGTGCGCAATGTGTACATCTGTATATGTATGTACCATGTTCATATATTAAAATTATGTCATAACATTCCTCTCAACATCATAATACTTCACCCATCTTTACTTGTCCAATGCTATTTTCTATAAAATATGACTTCTATTTTTGAGTGTTACACCTTCATGTCTATAGTGAACTCTTCAGTAAACAAAGGCCAAACAAACTTCAAACAAAAGGTAGCAGAAAACAAACATGACAGGAGAGGACTGCAAAGTCACATGAGGACAGCATGCTCTTTACCAGACAAGTTCCACCATGCCAAGGCCAATATGTTCTCACATATCAATGAAGCAAGCAGGTGCTGGCAGCCATGTTGGTGTCTCTATTTGCATATTATTGGATAGTAGATTAAACGTTTTTATGTTTGATCAGCAAGTATTCATTTGTATTCTCTTTGAGCATTAGACATTTGAATCATTTTGATATATAGGAGGATAAGAAGATCTTTGAATGTCTAAACATATTATTTGAGGTATGATTCACTGAAATGCAAATAGGGACACCAACATGGCGGCTCTGTCAAAAATGTTGGAGAACAATGGCCCAGTGGAAGATGTCTTTGAAAGAGGCTACATACAGCAGAGCAAATGAAGCAGGTACTGACATAGGAAGCATTGTGTGGATGCAATAGGGGCATAAAGAAAACCCAGTAGCAGTGTTTGGAAGTAAGACTTCTTTCCTGGACTTTCTAGGCAAAATACAGACTACTGTATTTTGAAAAACTGTCAACCCAACCTTCCCACCTCAAAACCAAATTATTTTCTATTTGAAAAGAGTTGACTGGTCAATTTCTCATATACACAAGACTCAACAGAAAAGGCATCATTCTACGGTAACCTTTTAGAGCAAGAAACACAGATTGTTGTCCTTTTTCAAGAAATGGAAATGTTCCTTTACCTTTCTTGGCCTTCTTCTGTAATCTTAAAGTGTCAGCAGATTTCTTCTTGATGTCTTGTCTGGCTTTCTTGTACTCTGTGAATTAAAAAAAAACATATTTCAATACACCTATATCTGTGATGCAGTATCACCATAGACATAACATACCATATCTCTTACTAAATCTGGTGGTATACCAGTAGCATAATTTTTCTTCGCCTGCATTGCCCCTTTGAGTAGCAGAAAGGCTGCCCTAATTCCCGGGACGCTGCGGTCTGGTCCACTCCTCCAAATTACAGCCTGGCCGCTCCTGCCCTTCCCATTTCCCCCTGCTGAAGTGGCCATGACTGTAATTTGTTGGACCCACCTTTACAGACGGATCCATCACTACTTCATGCACCACAGGATTGGACTGTCTGCCTGGCTGCCCTGACAGACTCATAAGAAGGGGCTTTTACAAACAAAATTATTGTTTCCAGGTACTGAAGTATTGTTTTTGGTGGCTGAGCTGTGAGGTTGTGTATACATGTATGTATGTAGGTTGACAGCACATGGGTGGGAAGATCAACAGGCAGAATGACAGGTCAAAGGTCCAAGGATAGCATAACTTTGCTGATGGACTTCTTGTTTGGAAAATCCTTTGAAATATTTATGGCTTCACCACACCACGAAGTCGCTTCACCACATGAACGGGGGATGTGGTGAAGCCATCTGCTGCATTTGCTCCCGAGCAAATGTCGGCCTTTCTAGTCCTTAATTATTCTTTTGCTGTCCCAACATGTTCTACTCTCAATCCAACCTATAGGCAGTTTGATTGTCTGACTTTTTAAGGGTTTACTGTCAACGTGGAAGGAAGGCACATCTCAGTCTTCAGTCTACTTTTAACTTGGCAGCCATCAGAGAAGGAGATGGAATAGCACATGTATCGGACGGATTTTCTCTGCGCCATCCAATTGCACTGGCCCATCAGGCTCAGTCAGAGACAGATGGGACCATTCCGCTCCTGGCTTGCCCTCCTCGCACAGAATCCTAAAGAGCCATCGGGGACTGAGGTTGTTGGAAGGGCAGGGAGGGAACTTCCATCTATAATTGCAGCAACTTTTGATTGATGTCTTGTCTTATAACTGCCCTTGTGGGAGACATCGAAGCGTTAACAGTGCCGAGGGGACTGAAAGAAAAGTTCACTACCAAACAGCTGGGTGCACCTGTGTCTTGTTCAAGTTCTCTGTAACATGATCAGATGGTGGCCGGGAAACGGCCAAATTTATGGTTTAATTTTTGGTTTCACCTTTAACCCACTTGTATACCCGCGGAATAGCGAAATTTCGGAGCTGCTGACGGCATGCTAAAGGTTAAATACAAGAACATCAGTGTTGGATTTTTGGGAAGGTTTTTTTTAACCAAATGTATTTCAAATGTGAGAGTCTATAATAGCACCTTTGGGAAATGTTTAACAATAGGAAATACAGCGAGGATTCATCTGTGAAACGACAGTGCCACCTGCCACTGATGTAGGGACTACTGGACAATGGTTTTGAATAATCTGATTTATGTGTTTTCGGAATAATCTTTTTGACTGTTCTGAACACTACAGCGAGGGCGTGTTGGTTGTTCTATGGCGTTTTGTCAGTTTGACTCTCTTACATTAGATTTCGGCTCTCCTGAGGATGTCATCCCTAGAATCAAATTTGCGAGGCCAACCTGCCTGAGTGGAGGGGACAGGAAAGTTACAGCAGGCCAGGGACGGAACAGACAAGGTCATGTGAAGGACAAGCAGGCAATGTTAGGGGGTAATTGGATTACCTTGAAGGCTTATGTGATGGAAGGGAGGATGTAAAGGGCAGGATTATGCAGATGGCCTGTGGATTATGTGTTCAGGCTTCAATCTGTATTCATTATTGTTGACGGTCTTCTTTTTGTCATGACTGGACAATGTTTGAATACATTGTAAACTGCTTGTAGCCACAATCTTCACATCTCTTCTTTGAAAAGTCAATGACAAATTGTCAGAAATTAAGGAGCACAATGGGGGTTTTAAAGAAACCGTTTCTTCATTGTAGCAATATTCCTGAAGGTCAGGCTCTGATCTGACTGGACAATGTTTTTAAACAACTAAAGCTGGCTGTAGTCCCTGTACAGCTGGAATCTCCTTAAAAACAGAAAGACACAAAGCAAGGAGCATACCAGGGGTACTGCTATTGCTGTTTCTTGAATACAGTATAATTGTTGAAGGTCCTTTTTTGTCTGTCTATAATCTGACTGGACAATGTTTGGAAACATTTTAAACTGGACTCAGTACAGCTAAATAATGATTACAACAGGTGACACAATTTGTTTTCATAATTGTTGAAGGTCCTGTTTTTGTCAGGATATAATCAGATTTGCCATTGTCAGGAATGTTGGAACAGCTGTAACCTTCATCTCTCATTATATAAAGCCTGTATGGCAGGTAGGCATGTCCAAATTCTTTCTTCTAAGACCACTCACTAAAAATCTGTAAAGACAATGTATGAGACGTTTAAAAATCTTGCTAGCTTTCGAGACAAATTTGTCAATACCTTTGTAAGTGGTGACAGAACTTTTTGAACAGATCCAAAATTCAACTTAATGGTTTTTTGAAAAGTTACACCTTCATGTACTGTATGTCTTGAAATTTTGGCTGTAATTCATTTTTGCAGTGCAAATTCATGATGCGACAAATATGCATTTCCAATGTACTGAATTCACACCATAGCACAAAATTGTCTCAATAGCAAACTTCATAATGACCCAAACACAAAAAAAACACCTCCTGTAAAAATAAGTGAATTTACAGTATACAGTCAAACCTGCCAAGGTGACCACCTCTTAAAGGTGGCCACCTGTCCATGGTGACCACTTTTTCTCAGTCCCAAACAAAAGCATCAAGCAACCTGTCCAAGGTGACCACCTGGCCAACGCGACCACGACCACCCTGAGTTGGGTCCGCTCAAGGCCTGATACCTGCCCATGGTGACCATCATTATTTTCGATCATGTTGATTACTGATGATAACTAATGAGAAGTCTGAACAGGTTCTACCCCCCACCTTTAGCATGGTCCTTGTCCAGCTGAGCAGCATCCTTCTTCCAGTCCTCCATCCTGTCCTGGAGGGGGGTCACCAGCTTCTCCATTATGGCACTGTAAGTTAACAACAGTACAACCATTTAGACCCCATTCACGCTCCAAAAAGTTATTTGAATAAGAGGGCGATTCTTGGCGATGTTTGGCGAGGTGACGTAGCGGTATATATATCCCTTCGCAGGCGGACGCAAGTTGGATTGGCGAAAAGCAGTGCGAACGCTCTTGTCGATTCTCGTCAATTCGGATGGACAATTTTCTATTCGGATCGCCCTGTTATTCGAACACCTTTTTGGAGTGTGAACAGGGTCTTAGACACTGCTATGATTGACAGCCATCAAAGCAATAACGTGAGAATTGTTTTAGCTGTAGATCTGGATACCTGACCTTTCTCTTTGACCTTATATTTTACAATAATGATTTCAAACTTAAACTTTGAAAAAAAAACATACATGTAGAGGACATTTCAATTACAAAATTCTGAACAGTCATCCTAAACCATCTTTTTACTTGTAGCAAAAGAAAACAAAAAAAAAAAGAGACATAAAAATCAACTTCACTCTAATCCCTGTTTCCTAGTTCCTTCCGTTCTGGACGCATTGTAAAGACATAAGGCTTAAAACTGGATCCATCTTTGTCAACCACAATATTGACTACCGGCTGGTCCAAAGCGCTGTAAGTACAGTAATGCTCTAAGAGATATTGATCATCGATACACTTCCCAGCCAGACATGGTCCTCAATATTTATAAAGGATACTAGTAGTTACATGGTCACTTGGTGCTCAATAGATGAAACCTGCTTTCATTAAAGGTAATCTATAGACCACCAGTCTGATAGCATTTACCACTACTGGTAACCTTCGCTGACACTGCTATAGACACTCGGTCTGGCCAAATCTGTGATTAGGCCACAGCAAGTATTTTCTTTATCGATGACATCAGCACGCGCATTAATTTTTGTCTGATTTTGGGGGAAGAAAACAAGAAATTTTGACAGTGGTCAATATGCCGAAAATGGGCAAAGATGTCTGTTGCCATGCCGGAAGGTGGATGGCAGATATCTATGAAGAGAGGAGACAAGACAAGGCTCTGATTTAATGTTTTGTTTCTTACTTTGATGCAGTGATATGTGATGCTGGCGGTGTATATGTGATGTTCCCACTGAATCAAAACCATTTGTATAATGATTAAGTAAAAATTCTAAAATGTAGGAACCTTGTTTTTTTGCCCGCTCGCATTAGATTTGGAGTCTGCGGAGGATGTCATCCATAAAATTTACTTGCTGTGGCCTAACCTTCGCTGACACTGCTAGACACTCAGTCTAGCCAAATCTATGATTAAAGTCCTACCTTGAAAAATGTCTGAGTTTGCCCTCTATACTTCTGTGTCGGATACACATTCTGGTCAGGGCTGCACCCAGCTCCTTGGTGGCTCCTGAGTTAACACAAAAAAATACAATCTCTTGGTCAATCTCTTGGCATTTTCTGTGATGTAGGATTCATCATTACAAAGAATAGATTTAGTAAAATACAAATAAATACACGAGACAGAAGTATAATACAAAAGCATAATACAAAGGTATTGATGAATTGTAAATACATGTAATGATTGTGCTGTTACAAGGAGACATATATGCTTGCCATCCTTGCACAAGTATATATCATTTTTTGGATAATGATACATCTAAAATGATAGAAATGTGTCTTTTCCCCCGTCCTTTGATGAATGACTTACAGACAAAATCCAAAATAACACTCCTTTTAAATAACATCGTATGATCGTCATGTATGTAAAAACTCTGCTAGTGTGAAGAAACATGTACGGCATTCTGTTTCATGTCTTCTAACAGCACGGGACTCAAATAACTCACATGCAGAACTGAAATATCTTCGTCTCAAGAAGCTCCGTATTCACACCCATGTGTAAATTTACACTTCACTTGTACATGTTTAGTTACAAGTGAAACAGTCTAAGCACACCCAGACAAGGCTTCAGTTGATACCTTCACTTATGAAAATACCTGTGACGCGAATGCGAAGAACAAGGGACTTAATTATACAAAACACACACCCTGACCTTTTGTGGTCTGTAGTTAGGGAATTTCCCCCAACCCACATGCTATCAAACAACTGTATGAATACAAACACACCCAAAACAATATCTCCACACATGGAAAACTAGAAAGGTTGACATTAGCTCGGGAGCAAATGCAGCACATGGCTTCACCACATTCCCAGTACCAAAAATGGACGTATACCCCTCCTGCACAAGTGAACTGTTCCTAAATCAACCCTGTCCAAAATATTAAATGTTCCAATAGTCTATACCCCCATGCAGCAATGGAATCTTCCAACGCCTTCTGAATAAAAAGCAAAAGTAAACAAGACTCTATACACCCCCTTCACCACAGTGGTCTAGCCCGTATCAAATGCTAAGTGAGCTGCTACATAGACATGTACATATAGCTTGCATCTGAATCCTTTACAGGTCTGTGAACCATGTAATGTTGGAACAAGCCCCCCTTTTCTCTGTAAATTCCAAGAGGTCAGTCCCCCATTACGCGTCGGACTGTTCTAAAGGGCACTGGGAATATCTTCTGAGCATCTGCGGCACACCACCGCATTTTTCACATGCAAATACATGTAGCTTCCAGCTCAACAGTGTATGCTTGTCTGCTGATTCAATCAGCAGCATCTTGTATACAACTTTCATATATATACTTTAATTCACTAGAAGATATTCTGACATACACAAACATGCATCTCAGTAATACTGTATACTACACAAAAAGTCATATATCTACGGCAGTTACGATACCGGTGGGATCATCATACTATTTCACAGTATTCATGATGAAAAGTTTGCAATTTCCCGTGCAGAAATTTTATGTATAACAAAATGGCTTTTCAGTATCCACAGGTATATATCAATACCAGGTACTTCCATGCATTGACAGGAGATGATACCAAAAGTGTTATGTACACTTAGGTTTATGTATCTTGGTTGCATTTTACTGCTACACTAACTATACGTCTGTTCTTTGAACTTTCATTTGGGATATCATATAATTAAAATTTATAGTAGAGGTTGTTAAAAAGATTGTCAGAAAGAAACTGTGTAAGATTGAGCTATGATTTAATCACGTATCCATGTGGTGCCATGTTGGTGTCCAATTTGCATTCCATTTAATGGTATGCAAATTGGACACCAACATGGCAGCACATGGATACATCTATGAGGTCACTATGCTCAAAATGCAGTACAGAGAAGGATCTGAAGTGGGCATTCCCCTGTCACATCTGCCCCATCTATCACCCCTAACCAGGTCCATCCTCCTCTGTGCTCTAAACCAAACACACCCAACTGTTCCAGGTTAACTTCTACACCAACATGTCTGACCCCAGTCTCCCTCCCCACCGCCTTTCCCACAACAAGAACCGACCCGCTCCCTCCGCTTTCACACGGGAAACAACCCTCGCCACCTCGGGCAAGAAAGTGTTTCCCATTTGCCGGGCTTTCTTATGGGAAGATAACTTCCCCAGCTGGGTTATTAAAGGATATCTTATACCCAAAGCTTGTCAGAGCTGTCAAAGGCAGCTGGAATCCTACTTGGTTGTGTGGGACAGCATGCACCCTAGGCTGTCTTGGGGTTTTGGTTGACTTCGACTTGAAAGTCTTAAAAAGTCATCAGATCTTCCATTGTGGAAGAAGAATCTTATATTTTAAAAGTTTACAGCAGAAAAGAAATGCCTGAAGGATGATAGTAAGGGAAAATTTTGAAAAGTCATTAGTTTTTCTTTGCTGCTCTATGTCATCTTGCTCATATCCCTATTTTTTTTCTTGCCAGAATAGCTCTTAACTACATTGTATCTATTATATATCATTCAATACAATTATGCCACGGTGTGTAACACTAACCTACTTACTAATGTAACATGACTGAAGGCATAGTATTGATTATTTCTCCATAAAATCCTGGCACAGATGACTGTAAGAGTCGCCTAATTTAATTAATGTGGGCCATTTTGCTTGAATTTAATATTGGCGTGGAGAGGAGATTATACTGCAGCTGGCTATACAGACACAGATTCTGATGAAGACACCAAGTATCTTCCAAAGGTAGTTTGAAATATCATCTTCCAACCTATACCTCATTCGTGATCCATAATTTCCACATGTGTGTAATACGGTACCATATTGCACAGCATCAGATAGGTCACTCACAATGGCATATAATTAGTACTGGTAAAAGGATATAACTTGCTTAATCTAATCAATTATGTTAATACAAGTAACCACTTCATTGCTGAGCTGTGTTTCTGTCACCTCACATAAGTCAACTTACATCAATTGACATTATCTAATATGGATACGCCTGTAATGAAAATTATAACAGAGACATTCCATAGCCTTTTAAGAATGTGCTTAGAACCAAATGAAATTGTCTAAGAAGAGGGTCCAGTTTCTTTGGAAGTTCATCACATTTGAGGAGAGAGATTAGTCAAATGATGTAAACATTAATTAGATTTGTGGCCCACCCAGTGAAATTACAGCAAGGGGATGATTTCCCCAGGGAACTGCAGTTACTGCACACTTGTATTTCAGGATTCACTTTACATCTTATAACATCATCAATACAGGTTTTTTTCCTAGCAATCATGAACTGTGGTTCTGTAGTTGTGTTTGGGAACAACATTTTGTACCTGTCTGTGTGTGTTCTTGAAAGGAAAATGCCATCCATGCAACAGATACAAATGTATATATTGCAAGTAATAAACCTTTCATTATGTTAATGAACCCAAAAATTTGATATCAGCCAACTCCATAGGGTATGTCCACACCAATTTAATTTGTTGGTTCTCGGATCTTTTTGAGAAAAAATATGAAGCGACAGGGCAAAAAAAAAAATTAAAACAGGTCTAGGCATCCTATCATAGCCCCAAATGATACGATAGGAGCCATGGAGTCAACACAAAAGGCTCGGATAATATTTTATCAATGATAGATGGAAAAACTGTAACAACTAGGACGAAAAGGACTTTCCTCAGCTACTGGAGGCAACATATGAGCATATTTGAGTTGATTCAGAAGCAGAATCTTTTTATTTTTTTTGCAAATCAGAAAAAAAAATGAACAGGCGAATCCGAGAACCAACAAATTAAATTGGTATGGCCTAATGTTCCCAAAATTCAAGATGAATTTGTTTACCTGCAGAAAATCCAGAATCAGTATGCTATCAGTAAAACGAACTGTACCACACATTGACAAAACTAGTGTCAGGAAGAAACAGAACGTGATCATTCTCTACGGAAAGGTATAATTAAACACTGAGATGTTTCATCAGGGCTGGAGCAATCAAACAGCCCCTATGTTCACAGTTGATGACCTGTTCATCTATCTCCAGTGGTAAAATGATGATCCTTGTACCAGCCTGAAGGACAGTGAAAGGTTTTTGTGATAGTACGCTCCACACAGGCTTTCTGGCACTGTTGCACATAGCTGATTTGTATGCCTGTAAGGTTGTGTTAAAAGTAGTGAGTCAGATTGAAAATTTGTTTAGTCCATTTCCAATAACTTTCGTATTCTAATAGTCACTAATCACAATAAACATGTATTTGATGACATCACTGTTACTAAATATTAATTGTGATTTTTATTAGTGAAGGCGCTTGATGATGTCATTGACTTCTGCAATGTTGACAGCCCTTAATCATGATGTCACTGATTTCTGCCATGACAACAGCCCTTAATCATGTCACTGATTTCTGCCATGACAACAGCCCTTAATCATGATGTCACTGATTTCTGCCATGACAATAGCCCTTAATCATGATGTCACTGATTTCTGCCACATCAATGATGATAATAGCCTTTGATGATGATGTCAATGATTTCTGCCATGGTGAGACCCCTTAATGATTTAAGTCAGCGATTTTTGCAGCCATCCAGTCTTTTTCCTTCATGTATATTTTATTGACGATTTTAAATTGTAGGGTTCAACTAACATGATTGAATTCTAAGGCAAAAGTAACATACGTTAACCAACAAAATCTTCCAAGCATTTATTCTACAAACAAGGCAGCAGACAAAAAAACTTCTCCAACATCTAAACAACCTCTTCCACATCTTAATCACTAACCAAGCCATAACAACCTCATAACAAACATCCTGGGAATGGGGTTCTCCCCTTGTAAGCCTCTGAGGGTGCTAATGTTCCCAGCTCCATGTTGCACTGACCTGTAGTGACCCCTACATTCCCATGTTTGCTGTGGTAAAATGACCTCACTGTCCCGGAACTTCATGCATGTGACCACCAGCCGGATTACCCCCCTGGCCCAAAAAGGGCTCCAGTTCTCACCCAGACAATACCTGCTTTCTAAGGCCACACCATTTAATTTGTTGCTTCTCGGATTTTTTCAGAAAAAATATGAGGC